ATATATATATATACACACACAACTAAAATTAAGTACTAAAATTATAGATAAATATAATGCTAAAACTAAAATTAAACCATAATAAAAACTTTATATAGAAACAAAAAAAAAATAATAATAAAAAACTAAATTTTATATATAAAATAAAATAAATGTTATTCAAAATATTAACAAAAAAAATACCATAAATCAATGATACTAAAAATAGCGCTGTATCTTAGAAGGCTATGGACTCACCTTCATCCTCATGTCACGGCCATGCTTCTCCAGCTCTTTGCGCATGTCCTCACGGCCCTGCTTGCAGGCATTGATCACCAGATAGTTCCACTCAATAGGCTGGAAAACGTGCGGATTGTGGGGCACGTACAGGCCGATTTTGATCTTCTTCATGGTGTGCTGGTAGCGGCAGTACGAGTCCTCAAAGTCGAACACCAACTCGCTGAGCGTACGGAAGCTCAGAGATCTGTCCATAAGGTCAGTACGTCGACTCATACCCAGAGTGCCATATCGGCCGTTACAGTAAACGCCCAGCACCACATGATGGAAGTGGTGGCCGGAGAACTGGGTCTTAAAGCTGATGGGGAACCGTTCCACGGAGGTCAGACCATTGGTTAGGTAGCTGGCAACATAGAGTCAAGGATTTCACTAATGTTAATTTGTGATGGGTTTAATCATGACAGGTTGGGTGAAATCAGAATAATTTAAAAAAAATAGCAGCTGCTCAAGAATGAAGTGATAATTAAATGGCAAATTGATTTTTATCGGTATTAAGATTCAGGAGGATACCAAAGTGTTTCATGAAAAATACCAAATCCTCCCCAAGGTTTTTAACTTGGTATGTACTATTAATTTTATTCAAATCTGATCTGTCTTTGAGCTTTCAGTAAGTTCAGTTTTGCTCACTTCCTGAAAACTTCCGATCAGCTAATGACTTACTTTAGGTCAATAAGAAGCTGTCCTTAACAACCAGTTTTTCAATTCAGACTCTATTAAGATATACGACAGTTAACATTTGTGAGTATTTTCTCAGAACCGACACTCTGATTGAAAGCTTAATTGTACTCTCTTTAAAATAACTGAATCTACAGTAAGTGGTTCTTCTTAACTCAACTGGCAATTCAGCATTTACAATTTGTGCTACATGAATGAAGTAAATGACAACTCGCATTATGTGGTTTTCTAAGCAATCAGGTGAAATATAAGAAACAATCCCAAAGATTTCCAATGAAGAACTTGAGATTAGAATATTAAAGGGACTCAGAAGCTTGCATCGAAAAGCACCAACAAGAACACCATAGAAATGACCTAGCAATCACACACTCTAAAGGACTTGGCAGCTAAATAGCAACACCCTAGCAACCATGCATAACACTCTAGCATTGTGGCAACAATGTATGCATAGGGAAAAACCAACAAGATCACCCAAGCAATGGCCTAGCAACTATCCAGAACTCCCTGATGACCACTCAACACACCAAAACCATTCTGAACACCTTAGAAGCTGTTTAGCAACACCCTAACAACCATCCATTATATTCAAGCATTGTGGAAATAACTTTTACATGGATACCACCAATAAGAACAACCTTCCAATAACCTAACAACCACAAAACAACAAAAATGTTTGCATGGAAAAGCACCAACAAGAACATCCTTGCATTGACCTAGCAACCACATAACACAGTAAAAACACTCTGAATGGCCAAGAAGTTGCATAGTAACACCCTAGCAACCATCCATAACACTCTAGCAATGTGGCAACAATTTTTGCACAGAAAACCACCAACAAGAACACTCTAGCAATGACCTAGCAACCACACAGAACTCGCTGGCAACCACATAACACACTAAACCCACTTTGAATGTCTTAAAAGCTGCATGGCAACACCCTAGTAACCACCTATAACACTCTAGTAATGTGGCAACAACTTTTGCATGAAACAGCACCAACAAGAACTCCCTAGCAACCACATAACACACTAAAGCTGCATAGTAACACCCTAGAAACCACCTTTAACACTCTAACACTAAGGCAATGAATCCTAATGTATATAATCCTAATAATGGACAACCAAATAACACACTAAAAAGTCACACAATCTCAAAAAAAAAATGAAGAAAATGTAGTTTAAAAATACTGACATGACCCAAACAAACTTATACGCTTATATGAAAAGCCAAACATCTCAAGTCGAACAAAAACCTTCTCTTTCTATGATGTTGCAGCAATGTGATTGTGATTGAAGTTGGTCAGCAGACACTCGGCTAGACTGGCCTTCCCCTTGGGCTTTTCCTTGTCTCTGCCTGATCTCTTCAAAAAAAAAAATGAAGAAAATGTAGTTTAAAAATACTGACATGACCCAAACAAACTTATACGCTTATATGAAAAGCCAAACATCAAGTCGAACAAAAACCTTCTCTTTCTATGATGTTGCAGCAATGTGATTGTGATTGAAGTTGGTCAGCAGACACTCGGCTAGACTGGCCTTCCCCTTGGGCTTTTCCTTGTCTCTGCCTGATCTCTTCTGTAGTCTTATGTAAGCGATCAGTGCTCACTGCGGCATGGCCACACATGATGCGGCAGTTGCTGCCATGAGGAGTCACCAGGCTGTGAGTGTATCAGCAAGGTTCACACCAGGACCCATCTCCAACTACAGACAAAAAAAGTCTAGGCTACTATTTGACCTTAATGCCATCAATCACACAGTAAACTGAGTGGTGTTTCTTTTAGGGTATCCATGATGTAATTAAAGAACTACAGTACAAACAAAACAAAAAGAGATTAGCATGATTGCTGTTCTCCTTTCTGATGCTAAATTTGAATTCATGTTGCCTTGAGGTTGCTAAAATGAGGAAAAGATGCTTTATTCTTTGCAACCACCCTTTAAATGAATCATTATAGTCACACTTGTCAGTAAACAGTGCGCCAGTGCCGTTTTGCTGTTGGATACCACACAAGCTGCCAAGTCAGCCAAGAGCACATACCACAGATCTGTTGAGCCATGTGTGTCCAACAACACAACGCAACGTCCTGGAATGGCTTCACTGCTTTGCCATCTGCCTTTCAAAGACAATCACCAGTACAATATGCTGGTATTCCATAACACAAGCATATTCATCTATTAATCAAAAACTCCAGTGGTCCACAAACAGTTAGGCTATTCCAGATTAAAACTACAAAAATGGTAAGTGACAGAAGCACTTTCACAGTTATCCAGAGTAAAATGACAACTTTAATTAAACTTTTTCTTTTGTTTTCTATTAAAATATCTGAAAACGTGATAAATTCACTTGAGAAACGACTTCTTTTCAGAGAACGTCTTCAATAATCTTCACTAAAAAAAAAAGTACACTACCATTCAAAAGTTTGGGGTCAGTAAGATTTTTTTTATTATTAATATATTTAATCAGCAGGGATGCATTAAAATGATCATTAGTTACAGTAAATACATTTACATTACAAAAAAATGTAGTTTGTAACCTTTCTGAAAAAAATACTAATATATATATATATATATATCAATCACACTGTATTTTTGGCTCATGAACAGTAGACTGCAAATTGGTTAATATTAATTGAGGCCTTGGTATCTGCAGAAAAGTTTGGTGAAAATCTTTGCAATTTGTTTAAGTAAAGCAGAATTTTTTTACACTGGTGAATTATACGTAATAAGACAAAAGACAGTGAAAAAGCAAAGTTGTTACATTTAGATTTTTTTCAAAAGGAGAATTGTTAACTCGGTCCCATTATTCTTTTGTAGTATTTTGAACACAAAACTTTGTTGTTATTCGAAGTAAATACAGGCTTATTCAGTAGGTTTTGTTCGTCTGCAGCTCTTTTGAGTTTCCTTCTCTCTCTGTGTATACACATACACACACCCACAAAACCCCCCACCAGTGTTGTAATGAGAAGACACCAGAGGATCACATTACCCATCAGCAGGGCCATGTGATCCTCTCAGCAGCAGTGCCGAGAATTCTTATCTGCAATACGCGCATTCCCAATCCTGGGGGATTAGTTCTGCTATAGGTTCCAAGCACACTGTGTTTTCATTTTGTTCATTTTGTCTTCATTTGAATATGCAGACAGTCTTTTGATGACTTTATTTCTACCCAAAATTTTGCATGAAGAAGAGAGAAGACCAAACACTTCTCTTTGGGCTGTCCTTGTGATATAATAGCTCAAAAATGCTGACCTTGCATATTTAAGAGTCGAAAAGAATACTGCCCGCTCACATAAGCCAAAAAAAATACATAAAAGCTAAAACTAGTTTTACATCTTTTTTTTTTTTTTTTTTGGTAAATCAATCATGGACATCTACGGTTGAGAAAATTATTATCAGGATATCTTCTTTTTGATGTTCAGACCCAATTGAAATATTTTTAAAGTTGTTGTAAATGGTTTCTGTGCTACTACCAACACCAAATGGAATTGCACTAGGTAGCCCCCCACCCTGGTTCTAATTGGCCCTTCACCGGGAGTTTGATTGACAGGCGATCTGACCAATTATAATGTCGAATCTGCCATTTTGTCAGAAAAACAAACTAGACAGGAGAGTAGATTAACATTGGTGGACTTTAACTTGAAAAATAGTGTGCAATGATGTCTTTCCACTCTGTTTTGTCTGGCAGCATGTTGTCAGTGTCCTCATTGCGCTGCGATTTTTTTCATTGTATTTTTCACTGTGTGAAAACATGATGTGTGGCACGAGAGTGGCATGGCTTGTCAGACATAGTAACAGTAACGAAGGGGGGCAGTAAGCCCCTCCCCTCAAATGGCAGCTGAGTGTCAGTTGCACGTGAACTGGAACTCGGACATCTTTAGGTTTCAGTGCCATAGAGAAACACTGGAAGCTTTCAGTGGTTTGATGGTGTTTATGTTACAAAAAATAGAAAAACGATGTGCCTGGGGTACTTGTAACACTGATTCCAGTGGATGGGCAATGGAATTTATTTTATTCCATTTCCTAAACCCAAACAAAACAAAGCAAAATTTCCCTAAGCATTCAACCCCAATCTCAATGAAGACGAAAAATTTTCTGGTTGTCATACTCTCATTAAGTTACAATTTTCATCTACTCAAGCAGAACGTTAATGTCATCTTGTGCTTCAGCGAGGTATCTCCGGCTTAAACTAGCTAACGTTAAAGTTAGTGAGTCCATGCTAACGTACAAACCTAAAGAGCGAACTGTTCTCACGTTATGTACGGTGTAGGTCAAAAGCACATAAACAAAGGTCTACATTTCAGTGCCTCTCCATATTAAACTGGTTAAATGTAAAATAATTTAATCTTACACTGTGGTACATGAACAGTGTTGATCCGGGATGTTGTCATTGCAATTGTGATGACCGTAACATGAGGCTTCTCCTGTTTGCATTGTGATCTGTATTTTTACATATTTATTTTAAAATCTTTCATCTATCCCTCTATCCCACTTGAATAATGGTCCTTCTGTATCCAAACCAATCTATCAAAAACATCTTGGGACAAGTTCAAGACAGTTAGCCACTCTGTTTGTTTGTCCGAGTGAGCAACAGTAACTAAGGGGAGTGGGGCTTACCGATAGGTCAATTGTGTAAAGGCAAGTTTACAACAACAACTATAAAGATAAGGATAACCATATTACCATCCACAGCAACGTGTGATAAAGTTTGGTTTATTATAAGCACGTGCTGCAGTTTTGTCATCTGCCACTTTAAATGCTCAACCTCTTTAAAAGCAGGATGGATTCTAATTGGCTGTCGATGTTTTTATCATTCATCATCTGAAAAAAAAAAGTTTTGAAAGGGATTTCAACAACAATGTTGTTGACAGCAACTTGTGGCGTGGATTCTGCCATTCCTTCACATTTAAAATTATTATTAAAGGGGTCATTACATTTATTTATTCAAGCTCTAGAAATGGCTCATTTGGATATTGTGGGATTTGTGACATTACAAGGGCAGATGCATTTGCATATGACTAAAAATGGATCACTTCAGACAGAGGGTCAGAATGAGGGTCTAAAATGATTGTTTTTCCACATATATATTTGTCCAGTAGGAACATTTTCCTATTTTCCAACAACAACAGAAAATGGCTTATAGCAAATTTTACTTTACAACAACAATAGCCTCAGTGTTCTCTGATACTCTAATACTCATTGTTATGATGTTTGAGTCCTCTGGGACTGTAGGAAAGTTCCTTGAGAGCGCTGTAGATTAAAAGACAGGATTTGTACACAAAGATACAAATCTCAAAGTGACATAAACTGGAACCGTTCATCCTCCCGCTCTCCACACCGCAATCTGTAAAGCAGATCTCCACAACATTTCTCTGCTACACTTGGCACTGCACGGACGGAGATGACATTCACTTTGTGTTAACCCTTGGCCTGGATCTGATGAGCTAACTGACACTAATAATTCCTGAAAGAACTCACCCTCCCAGTGGCATAGAATGGCACAACTGCATCGACTGCATGGACAGGAAGCTGCGCCTCCCTTCAGGAGAATCTACTACAACTCCTAGTTTCCTAGCAACAGCTACGTAAAAGCTTCAGTTCGGGCTGAGGCGGATCATGAGGGAAGACAGTGATCTGAAGCACATTGCCTTTGATAGATCTCTGCTTAGTCCCTCCATCCCAATTTCAGCAATTGAGAAATCAACAATAAAAATAAAAGTATGGGGCTTTCCCAAGACAAATGAACTGTGCTGTATGTGCTCGATGGTGATAATTACTTTTATGAGAACGGATTTATACTTTAGGGACTGAAGGATGTTCAAGCCTAAGAAAACAACAACACTACATTTCTACATTTTCAGAAGAAAGTTTGAGTGCTACTCCCATCTATCTTTTTTCTAATGCATGTTATTGTAAATTATTTATCCATGAATGTTTCATTAAAATTTTTCTTAAAACCTTAATTTTTTCTTAATTCCTTGGTGAATTAAGAGAATGCACTTGATCAATCAGTGTTATTTTAATATGATTTATGTACACAATTTGAGCAATTACTCATTATATTTCTATTTATCTTTCATTTATTTTATTTTCAGTATTAGTTTTAGTTATGTTGGTACTTCAATTTCAACTTATTTCAAATATTAAATTTTTTTAATTACAGTTTTTCATATAATATTAATATTTTATTTTAGTATTATTTCTATACATAATTATAGTATTTATTTATTTTTATTAGTTTTTTTATGTTTCTATCATTATTTTAGTTTAGTTTTAGTATTTTGGTTTATTTTATTTTTAGTATTTAGTTTTTTAATTTGGTACTTAAATCTCAAAAGTTTCTCATATAATATTTATATTTTATTTAATTTTTTCAATGAATAAAAACAATTTCTAATAGTTTTAGTTTTGCTAAAGTTGCACAGTAGTCAATAAAGCTAAAGGATACATTCCAAGGATAACTGCTTCAAGGCATTTGATGGGAAGTGATTCTCGTATCATCTCTCTGGCGGTCTCCATCAACCTGGAAAGAGATTAGATTGATGCAATACAGGGTCAATGACTTCTTTTCAATCTAAAATGAACCTTTCATGTTTGGTTATAAGCTCTGTATTTTGTAAAATGGCACTTTTTTAAATGAATATCACACCTGAAAAACATCTTTTTAAAAGAGATTTACCACCAAGAGTGTAAGTGTAAAATAAGAAAAAACAGGAAAGACAGGGCAGACAGACAGGATGATGAAAATGCCTCAGCGATGGCATCACTTACCCACTCAGAGGTCTGGTTTTCTTAATCTCAAAGAACTGCGTTCCTGTATGGTTGTATCTGTCAGAAGTTAAGGAGCTACGTGAAGTTTGTACGGCTCATTTAGGAAGCCTTGTTTTCCTGTTTTTTCATTGTGACTCATGCGTGTCAAAGTGCACAGCTGCAAACAATATCCTGCTGAAACCTATGTACTCATTACTCTTCACAGACATTGCTGTATTTGTGTGAGAAAATTGCTGAGATATTAATCGCACACAATGATGAATATAAATATCCACAGAAGCTGAAATAATCTAACCATCAAGTAGTATAGACAATGCAATATCCAACTTAAAGGAATAGTTAAGCCAAAAATTTAAATTTGCTAAAAAATGTACACACCCTCAGGCCATCCTAAATGTAGATGAGTTTGATTCGTCATCAAACAAATTTGGAGAAATTCAGCATTACATCACTTGCTCACCAATGGATCATCTGCAATGAATGGGTGCCATCAGAATGGGAGTTCAAACATCACAATAATCCACAAGTAATCCACGTGACTGCAGTCCATCAATTAACAACTTGTGAAGTGAAAAGTCACGTGTTTGTATAAAACAAATCCATAATTAAGGCATTTTAACTTTAAACCGTGGCTGCCAGTCATAAAAGTCCATAAACCAAAATAATGCTTCCTCTAATGAAAAAGTCCATCCCCTGTTGTCCTCTCACGTCAAAAACAACATTGAATCTGTTTTCGCTTGTACAGGTGCATCTCAATAAATTAGAATGTCGTGGAAAAGTTCATTTATTTCAGTAATTCAACTCAAATTGTGAAACTCGTGTATTAAATAAATTCAATGCACACAGACTGAAGTAGTTTAAGTCTTTGGTTCTTTTAATTGTGATGATTTTGGCTCACATTTAACAAAAACCCACCAATTCACTATCTCAACAAATGAGAATATGGTGACATGCCAATCAGCTAATCAACTCAAAACACCTGCAAAGGTTTCCTGAGCCTTCAAAATGGCCTCTCAGTTTGGTTCACTAGGCTACACAATCATGGGGAAGACTGCTGATCAGACAGTTGTCCAGAAGACAATCATTGACACCCTTCACAAGGAGGGTAAGCTTTTGCTTCTGATTCAGACAAGACAAAAACAATATTATGGATAGAGGACTCATTTATTGGCAGCAATTATTTGAATTTAAAATGTCTTGATGGATTGTTTAATGCAAACACGCAACTTTTCACTTTACAAGACATTAATTGATGGACTGGAGTCATGTGGATTATTGTTATGTTTTTATCAGCTGTCAAACTCTCATTCTGATGGCACCCATTCACTTTAGAGCATTCACTGGTGAGCAAGTAATGTAAGTTTTAATCTAAATATCTCAAAATCTGTTCAGATGAAGAAACAAACTTAACTACACCTTGGATAGACTGAGGGTGTATACACCTTCAGCAAATGTTCATATTTGGGTGAACTATTCCTTTAATCTATATCAAAGCCACACATTTTCACTGGCAGCCTTTAAAGCATGAGGCAGAAAACTGTAATAATCAGAGTACCAGAAGTATGCATACCCGTGGCTAATATCACTCTACATTAAAGTGACTGACACGCCAACCAAAAAGGCCCTTTGAGTAAGTCAAGCTGACTGAACAAATGACACTGAGCGAAAAAGCATAACTGACACTCCAAAGAAATGAGTGCCCATGAATCCATAATACATCCAGAAGAAACAGAGGTTTAGAATACATCTGTCAACCTTTTCCAGAGCGAACGGTTTGTGGAGGGTAAAGGATACTGCAAGTTTCTCATGTAGTTCTGGACGGATCCATAAAAAAAAAAAAGTGTCTCACACAGCTCCGGGGGCCTTCTGTAGCGAATCGATGCGTTTTTGTAAGAAAAATATCCATATTCAAAACGTAATAATCGCTTTAATCTAGCTTGCGCTCACTGTTGTACACTGGAAGCAGTTCCGGGAGCTTGACGTATGAGGTCAGCGTTGCGCATGCGCCAGTGAGTTTCGTGAAAACTAACGTTTGTTAACAGGAGCAAAGGAAGCAAAGTTTCCTTACTTTAGCAAAGGAAAACCAGTCTCCTCTTGGCTTATATCGAAATCCTCCGACATTCTTCTTTACAAATCCTTGTTTTGTACTTCTAATTAGGTTTGTTTACATAATAACTGCAGTGTCCTCAGACCCAAGGTTATCACTGGAGACTCTGATTCTCCATCAGTGTGGTCATTTACAGTATCACAGTAAGTTCTTTCTCATTGACCGTCACTCTCTGTCTAATGGCTCTAACAGGAATGTCTGGCTTGTGTCACAGCCGTTCGAGTGACTCCTAATCTGGCTGATCTGATGGATTCACTCCACGCACATGTTCAACACTTGCTGGTGGGGAATGTCCCTTAATAAATCACTTTAACATCTAGGGATCTGACTCAACACTTTCGACCAATCAGACGCCTTTGTTCTGCAAACATCAGCACATATGAGTGTGCAGGAATGCACAATAGTGTTAACTAAAACAAAAGACCTAGTATAAACACACAGCTTGACCTTGCGTATGCTGTCCGTCTGTGCACTGAGGATTACTTAGTCTGTGATTAAGACTCACTTTATCTCCTCCGAGGCCCTTAATTTGCATGCTCTATGAAGCCTGATCGGGTCTGATTGGTTTATGT